ACTGCAATGCATAAAACCATGCTACAATAACTCAATTAAACATTCTTTACAACCGGTCTGACCAGAAAAGCATCCCTATCTGTGTATATATACATACACACACACACAATTATTTTGTTTAAAGACATTTGGGTTTGAGATTGAAAGATGATGATACGATAGATCGGAATTTCAGCTTTCATTTCATTTCAGCTTTCATATTTACATCTAGATGTGTTAAAGAACATTGGGGGGGTTGCAATGCATGCTTAATTGGGTTAAGGTCTGGTGAGTGACTTGGCCAGTCTAAAACCTTCGACTTTTTTCCTCTGATGAAGTCCTTTGTTGTGTTGGCAGTGTGTTGTGGGTCATTGTCTTGTAACTCGTAACTTTATCCAAAAAAAATTGGTGCTTGAGAGCAATATATATGATAATATAACTGATATATATAATATAAAGATGTGGTCTCATCCTATATCCTCCATGCAATGGAAACCTTTTCATTATACAGTCCCCTCTGAAAGTATTGGAATGGCAAGGACAATTCTTTTGTTTTTGCTTCATACTGAAGACATTTGAATTTGAGATCAAAAGGCGAACATGTGACAATAAATCAGAATTTCAGCTTTAATTTCCTGATATTTACATCTAGATGTGTTAAACAGCTTAGAACATGGCACCTATTGTTTGAACCCATTGGAACATGTGACTGACCGGTGTTTCTTGTTTCCCAGGTGTGCCCTGTTAGATTGATTGTTTAAACAATTAATAGCGCTGAATGTCGACTCTTGGTTTGAGCCCTGGGTTTTGCCTGTGAAGACTGCGTTTGTTATTAAAAAGGATAAACCTGCATGAAGACCAGAGAGCTGTCTATGGGAGAAAAGCAAGCTGAGAAAAGAGGGAAAATCAAACAGAGCCTCTGAACAAGCATTGGGCATAACAATACATTATGGACAAACCACTGGTGTACTAACAACCAGACATCAAACAGGTCGGCCAAGGAAACAACAACAGTTCATGACAGAAACATTGTGAGAGCTGTGAAGAAAAACCTAAAACCAACAGACACTGACATCACCAACAACCTCCACAGGGCAGGGGTGAAGGTATCACGATCCACCATTCGAAGAAGACTTTGAGAGCAGAAATACATCAATCAGCCATAACATTATAACCACCTGCCTAATATCGTGTGGGTCCCCCTTGTGCCACCAAACAGTTCTGAACCGTTGAGACATGGACTCCATAAGGCCTTTGAAGGTTATGCGTGATTGGTGTAAAAACTATTTGAAATTTAACTTAATTTAACAATTTAATGGCTAGGTTGTGACCCCATATAATTAAGTATAACCCCCTTTTTTTTTAAATCTGGTAGGAGCTTGCATTTATCATGTGAACGACATAAAGACAATTCTATACTTTTATTACAGGATTAGAATACTTAATTGAGTAAGTCACAAGAAGGGTACACTTGCATTAAGGAAGCGAATGTCCAAGCGAACACACATCAGTCAAATGTACTAGAGTGCTGTTCACTAAAAGTGAGAAAACTAGCTCTAGTAATGGAAAAAGATTCAGTGATCCTTACAGTTTTTTTTCTAATGGAAACCAATGGACTGTTAGCATTGATTCATCAACATACAGGTACCATATTATCCCAACAATGTAAATCAAGTGTGCACAAAAATAGATAAATAAAGATCAGTATTTGGAGCTATTGGTGGTGCTCTGAATCTTAACATTGCAATAACGCAAATGTGTATGTAATTTAAGATGTAATAACAGAGATGCAACATCCCTTAGATATGAGTTCTCCCTGTGTATGTGTGTGTGAGTGTGTGAGTGTGTGTGTGTGTGTGTGTGTGTGTGTGTGTGTGTGTGTTAACTGATCAGCTCCTACCGTCCCATTGATTTCCACTTCATTTAGCAACTCTTGTGGTTTTTGCTGTAATGAATAAGCTCTGCTCTGTGCATGTGGATGAGTGTACTAGCCATAGATCAGCTTGGATTTTGGTGCAGTGGAAACACAATCTCTAGAGAAAAGAGCCACATGTCCCTGTCTGGATACCACTGGACATATGTTGGACTGTTGGACATCTTCATTCCAGCTGTCATAGTTACACTTGGTCTTTAGCCTGTAAAGTATTGCCTGATATTGACAACACCATGCTACTGAGCTACACTGACTGACATTGACTACATTGAGCCTCAGATTTTACTATTACTGCTGAAAGAACTGCAATTTGTATTTGTGTTTTTTTTTTTTTTTTCTGAGACTGTCCTTGTGATGAGTCCTCAAAATTCAAACACAGTTCAGCCTTTGTCAACCTACGATGCCACCCTGCCCTGTGTGATCAGGCAATCATCAGTTGTGGTTTATTGGCAAAAATACCTTGGTGTAAAATGTTGACCAATGGAAGTGGTCTCTTTTATCCCCATATGACCATGTAGGGTGTGTGTGTGTTTGTGTATGTGTATGCCAAATGCCTTAGTGTCCAGTTTTGATCGGCACATGCCAAGGAGTTTGAATGGCTCTCTACAGCGAATGTTGTGGTAAGAAAAAAAAAAAAAAAAAAAAAAAAAAACAAGGAGGCATGAATAAAGAAGTAGCCAGCGGCCACTGTTCAATTACTGCGTCATCTGCTTTTTTTGTTCTCACTCGAGTGGCTTCTGTGTGCTCAGTTGACTGGTTGCCACACTTTGTTGAGGAGCATGCATAGGAAGTGGTTCATATCCACCCACTCCACAACCTGCACAGAGCTGGTTAAGTTGCTGGGGTTGTGTGACCACTAAAGGAATTGGACCATTGCTGCTGCAGGGAACATTCTATTGCACCACCCCAAATTTATGTTTTCAATTGCTTATAATTCCTTTTCTATTTTGGTCACGACGCTATGATTCGGGACTGGTCATCCTGTTCCCACTCCGGGTGATTCACTCAAACATTTTAAGGAAAGCTCCTGAACATTACCAAATAGTGAGCTTGGTTACTAATGCGAAGGTGATGTGACTGGGTTCTCCTGTCTCTTCCCAGTGAACCAGCCACAAATTTTCTGTGAGGGAATTTAGGCAGAGAGCCTGTTTACTGGGTTACGTACAGATTTTACATTGACGTCTCAACTTGGTCTTTTTCTCAGCTGGAGTGTGTGAGGGAGGACGTGTTCCAATAGGGTTTTCACCTCTGGGTAATGTGAAATGACAGAAATAATATGTTATTGCAGCTATGCCAGGACTGAGAATTTTCTCCAATTTTCTCTTTCCCTTTTGAATAGCACTATTTTTTATTTATTTTCCTTCTTGACACCAGCCTCTAGGATTCAGGGCAACCTGTGGGCTCCAGCTGTTTCAGATTCAGCCCACTCTGCACCTGCATGGGTACATCTAAGCAGTCTCCTTAGATGAGGCTTGACATCTGTTATTGAGGTTCAACATGTCTTTCTGTGATGCATGTGGTACAGTTCTTGTGGCTCAAAACAAAATATCTATGGACCTTGCCTGTTGAAGGAAGACCTTCCTCAAGACCTAACCTCTTCTGAATCTAAAATTAGCTCAGAATTTCAGCATAGTACCTTCACAGGACAACAGTGTAAGAGCAATTAATTTATTCAGTTGTATTTACAGAAAAAGTTCTGAAATAAGAGACATTATTTTACTTAATGGTTCAATGAGATATTTACAAATTATGAGTGATAGTACTTTATGGCATCATGATCACTAAATGCCCTGAAATTTATTGCTTTTGTAAATAAGTATTTGTGTTACATTCAATAACGTTTAAAGAAAATACACACACTTTCACAAAAATATGTATTTTTACTAGTTAACTATCTGTTAACTAATTTAGATCTCTAGTTTTAGAACTCCCACTGTCTTGTAAGCATGTAGTTGTATTTCTACCATATGTGATATACATATCCACTGAAATGTAAACTGCCAAGGACAAACTGCAAAATCTCTAAGTAGAATGGTTTTTAATGTATCATAAGTTGCTTAACCTGGCAAGTGATATGGTCCAGGGACCTGCATGTCTAAGTAATACCACTAACTCACACAGAAGAAAACATCCCTCCTCCTTTAAGCTTTAAGAGTGAATGATCACCTGTTCAAGGCAGGGAGAACCCAGTACCATTACGGGCATTGCTTCAACTGGGGGATATAGTCATGGAAAACTCACCGAAATAGAGCACTGATACAGACCTATGGAAATAGGTCATAAAATCATAATCATAATGTAGTCATGTAATTAATACCACTGTTTTTGTTAATCCTACTTTTACTCTTATTAAAAAAACAACATACATACAGTTTGAAGAATAAGCTGACCAAGCGCTTGCCTGCTATGCTTACAGCTCGCTGTAAGTGTTGTTTATAAATTGATCCAAGATAAGCAGTGTCTCTGATTATGATGCTGTCTGTCTTCCTCCATTCAGGAAAGAATGAACAAATGAATGTTTGTTATAAACTTTTTGAGCACTTTACCAGGTTGGTATGATTGATTAATTGATAGTCATCATTTATTTGCATTGTGTGTGCATTTTTCTGGCTCCGATCTTGTTGGGATTTCAAGAACACTGCAAGTTATATCTAATGCACAGTGTTTGTGATGCTGCAGAAGAAAGGTACAGAGGTGTGTGTGTGTGTGTGTGTGTGTGTGTGTGTGTGTGTGAAAAGTGGAGCGATTCCAGCTCTTCTGTTGCATTTCTTTCAAGCACCATCTGTTTGGCTTTCACAGAAGGTCATAAATTATGAGTGCAATCTACAGAGCATTCATAACCACACACACACACATACATGCAGGAACAATAATGACTCATAATTGACCTCTTTTGTGTGTGTATGTGTATGTGTATGTGTGTGTGTGTGTGTATGTGTGTGTGTGTGTGTATGCACACTTTGGTGACTGCACTTTGGGCTCTGCTCAACAGATGGCTTGGCTAATTGATCTGTCATAATGACGGCTTATAGGCTGATTCAGCAAGCACAACAATAACACAGTTTACACACATATATCTTCCTTTGGGTCCCTGGAGGACTAGTGGTTAGGCCATGGTGCTCTTACCGATGCGGCCCGGGTTCGATTCCCCGACAGAGAACCAGCCCCAGCCACTGGGGGTGCACAAGACCGTGCACTTCCAGTGCCGGTCCCAAGCCCAGATAAAATCAGGGAGGGTTGCGTCAGGAAGAGCATCCGGCGTAAAAACTGTACCAAATCAAATATGCGGACCCATGATCAGCTGTGGTGGCCCCTAACAGGAGCAGCCAAAAAAAAAGAACAACAACACACATATCTTCCTTTGTTCTTATTTTTCTGAAATAAAGTTGGTTCTGTGTCAAAAGCAAAAATCAATGCAGGATTTTTCCGTCTAGTGATCAACAGTGACACTGGCGAGAAGAGTCAGAGGCTCATAAAATTGGACAGGATGGTCCAAAGCCACCGAGTGTACACAGCAGAAGGCATCAATATTCAACAACCATAACTGTCTAGCCAATCACTAGGGGCCTGATGTACTTAGCTTTTTGCGCTCCACAATTAATGATGACGTGTAATAATACAGGGCCTTTTTAAGGCCTTGGAGAACTGTCAACCCTGGATATAGCACATACATCAAAGAAATGATGACAGTAATGCCCTCCACAACATTTACTTGACACAAATGTCTTCATTAAAAATAACAGATTTATTCTTTGTTACTGAACATGCATTTCCTCTTTAGAAAAAAGTGACACTAAGAGAACATTTAGTAGGTGTCCCAGGGGCAGTTTGCATGATGAGCCACAGAAAATTGAATGTTACCACATATTGGAAGCACATATTGTAGTTTTGTCTCCTCACATACAGTGACTCCAGAAAGTATTCACCCCCCCAATGATTTTTTCTCTTATTGAGTATATGCAAAAGTATATTAGAATGTGATTTTTTTTCTGCTCCTTTTGAAGTGACTCTCTACAGAAATAAAAGTTTAGATGTCCTCAGAATTATTTGAAAATGTAAAAAAAAAATTTAAACCATTTAATTGATTAAGTATTCACCCCCTAAGTGAGAGTCAGAGCATCTCCAAAATGGCAGGTCTTGTGGGGTGTTCCAGGTATGCAATGGTTAGTACCTACCAAAAGTAGTCCAAGGAAGGACAACCGGTGAACCGGCAACAGGGTCATGGGCACCCAAGCCTCACTGATGCACGTGGGGAGCGAAGGCTATCCCATCTGGTCCGATCCCACAGAAGAGTTACTGTAGCACAAATTGCTGAAAACGTTAATGCTGGCTATGATAGAAAGGTGTCAGAACACATAGTGCATCTCAGCTTGCTGCTTATAGGGCTGCGTAGCCTCAGACTTGTCAGAGTGCCCATGCTGACAAGTGTCCACCGACAAAAGCTCCTACAATGAGCACGAGAGCATCAGAACTGGACCATGGAGCAATGGAAGAAGGTGACTTGGTCTGATGAATTATGTTTTCTTTTAAATCATGTGGACAGCCAGGTGTGGGTGCATCATTTACCTGAGGAAGAGATGGCACCAGGATACACTCTGAGAAGAAAACAAGTATACCACCTACTGTACACTATTGCAGACCAAGTACACCCCTTCATGGCAACGGTATTCCCTAATGGTAGTGGCCTGTTTCAGGAGGATAATGCGCTCTGCCACACTGCAAAAATTGTTCAGGGATGGTTTGAGGAACATGACAAATAGTTCAAGGTGTTGACCTGGCCTCCAGATTACCCAGAACTCAATCTGATCAAGCATCTTTGGGAAGCGCTGTACAAACAAGTCCGATCCATGGAGGCCCCACCTCGCCACTTACAGGACTTAAAGGATCTGCTGCTGATGTCTTGGTGCCAGATACCACAGCACACCTTCAGAGTCCAAGAGTTCTTGTGGAGTCCATGCCTTGAAGCATCAGTGTTTTAGGGCACAAGGGGGACCTACACAATATTAGGCATGTGGTATTAATGTTATGTTATGGCTGATTGGTATATTACATAATAGACCTCTTTTCAGACAAAAAAAAAAAAAACACGATGTGAAAACAGAAGCAAATGTGACAGTCAATGTCTCCAGATGAACTGTGGCAGATTCTCCAAGATGCTTAGAAAAACCTACCAGCCAATTCCTTATAAAACTCAAAACACTCATGAGACTACTGATGCATTTTTAAGGGCATCAGTAGTCTGTCAGTAGTTAAAGGTTTGTCACACCAGATATTGACTGTTTAGTTTAGTGCTGTTTATTGCTCTTTATAGAAGTTTTTTAATGGAAAAAAAGGTTCATTTTGTTATTTTTAAAGCATCTTTAAAACTGAAATTGTGGAATGTGGACTTAACTGCTTTCTTCCTTTCCTTGTTTCCTTTTCCCCCTTCCTTTACTTCCATTCTTTTCTTTCTGTGTTTCCTTTCTATGTGTATAGCTGTCGTTCACAATAATCATACCTTTTCACAAAAACTCATTCCTGTGGGATTTGATCATCACTGATGATTGGGTATAAGTCTGGAGTACATGGTCATTATGGTTTAAGTAGTTGGAAGATTTCTTTCACACTCCCCCCATTGTCTCTCTCAGATGACGTCCATGCCTTGCCTCATTTACAGATAATGATGGGTATTGTAACCCAGCAATGGCTTACAGAGGCTTTACATCTTCCACCTCCTACTCTTTTACCTGTCTTTGTCCTCCTCATCTCTTTTGCATCATCACCTCTCCCTGCACATTTAAGCTTAGAATTTGGCATGTACGTCATTGTGTACATGTGTGTATTTGCTATCTTCTGTACTTAGATTGTCTTTATAGTAAAGTGTTTGGTTGTCTGGCATAAGCATTCTTCATCATAGTCAATTGAGGCTTAACTACCTGTGATTAAAAAGCTAAATAAAAGTCATTACTGGTCTGTGCTTCTGGTGGATGTAGATGTAAGCGTACTTGTATTTACATCTCTTTATGATTCTCTCTCTCTGTTTCTCTCTCTCATTGACAGAGAGGTGGAGAATGAACTGGAGGTGGTATGGGAAGCTGCTGCAAAAGAAAACCAGCAATTGCAGGACATTGTGATGGGCAAGGTTGATGTCTTGTTGAGTCCTCATGACTCACGCCTCTCTCTGGCCTGGAAGCCACAGGAAAATCTCAACCAAGCATGCCATCTGAGCAGCACAATGTCTCCTACCGTTATCATGATACCAAAACAGAGCAGTGCCATGTTCAAAACTGATTCTCTGCAGCACCACTACCTGTCGTCTGATGAGAGTCTAATGATGCATTAGACTTTTATTCCTGATATGACACATGAAACTGATGTCCCTAATAAAGAATGAGATAATTTAAAAAATAAATTGAGTAAGCACTACACAAGGCCTAAACATGATTAGATATACTATATGTGCCTAATAATGGATTCTCTATCATCCTGGACTTTTTAGGAAACCAAAAATATTGGTGGCATCACTCTAAAGAGTTCTTTTTGGAATTCTTTTTTCTTAATTGTGAATGCATTTGCTTGACACTAATTTAAAATTCATAGTTCCTTCTTACCCCTAAATATAAGACAAGCCCTGCATTTGATTTTAGATTATGTAGGTAAAACCCAATTAACTAATTTGGTCTTGCCGTTCCATCTGTTAAGGTTGATCTACTTAATTCCACCAATTCATCAGTCTTTAATGATAATTTTGCTGAGATAATACAGAGTGTCCTTGAGAAAGACTCAGTCAGTAACTGATTAGAAGATTCTTCTCAGATAAGTACAGCGGTCTAGATTATTGCATTAATGTGTAAACTTAATTACTGATCATGTCTGAAGAACATGGTGATGTTTTTCTTAACTACAAGGAATTGAACTGGGTGATAAATTAATTGCCTTTTTTGAAGTTTTGCCAAAATAGTTTTAATCAAAAGAGCCTCTTTTGTTATTTTAATGAGACCAAAGTTACACGTTTTTAATATTCTGAACATGAGTAAACTGATGTTTGTTAATGTATTATCAAAGAATTTCTTTTAATTTTTTAAGTATAGAAGTACTACTCAGATGCTTGTTAATAAATAATGGCCACTCCACCTGAAGTTTAATACAAGCTGTATAGTCACAATTTCCTAGGAAAATGCAGAAGGCTTTTTATCACATGCACATACATATTTTAGATATACCAATAGTAATTGAAAATACTTACAATCATACAATAAATTTTAACACTTTGTTGCAAAGCTTTTGCAGTTAATGGCTGCCTGAAGTCTGGAACCCACAGACACCACCAGATGCTGAGTTTCTTCCCTCGTGATGCTCAGCCAGGCCTTTACTGCAGCTTACTTCAGTTCCTGCTTGTTCTTAAGGCATTTTGCCTTCAGTTTTTGGCCTCAGCAAATGAAATGCATGTTCAATTGGATTCAGGTCGGGTGAATGACTTGGCCAAGAGCATAAGCTTAACTTGTAGAACATAAACTTAAAAAGTATTGGGTTGCTTTCAAAGTATGCTTCAGGTCCTTGTCCATCTGTACTGTGAAACAACATCCAATAAGTTTTGAAGCATTCGGCTGTATCTGAGGAGATCATATAGCCCTACACATTTCAATATTCATTGGGGAAAAATGTGATCTCAGTGACTTTGACCATGGCATGGTTGTTGGTGCCAGACGACCAGGTTTGAGCTAACAGGAAGGCTACTTTAACTCAAACAGCCACTCTACAACAGCAGAAGGCCACACCGTTCCATTCCTGTCAGCCAAGAACAGGAATTTGAGGCTACAGTGGGCACAATCTCACCCAGTCTGGACACCCAAACTGAAAATTGGGAAAAAGGTTGCCTGTTTTTTCCCAACTCATGGCTTCTTCTTCTTCTTCTTCTTCTTCTTCTTCTTCTTCTTCCGGCTTTTCCCTTCAGGGGTCGCTACAGCGAATCATCACTCTCCACCTATCCCTATCTTCTGCATCCTTAACACTTGTACCCACTAGCTTCATATCCTCATTTATTACCTCCATATACCTCCTCTTTGGCCTTCCTCTTCGCCTCCTGCATGGCAGCTCCATGTCCATCATTCTCCTACCAATATTCTCACTCTCCCTCCTCTGAACATGTCCAAACCATCTTAATCTGGCCTCCCTAACTTT